GCCCTTTTCCAGGTTGTCCTTGCTTTTTTTTTAAACGTCAAAACTCATCCTTCATTTTCAAATCTGGCATCAAAATAAACCCTGAAAATGAAGTATGAGTTTCCACTCCCCTCCTAGCTTATCGACTTCATGTGGAGAAAACAGCTCCGTCATCGTGACAGCACAGCTCCACACAGTGCAGACATCTTTCCTCCACAAAACAAGAGCAAACAGTACGGATCAGGACAGCTTTATGGGCATGTTTGTGCCTGAAATATCATCAGTGCTATATGCAGTGGCGATTCTAGAGTCTGTTTGGGCCCCAGGCAAAAACAGCTTTCATCACCATCATGTCTGCCTGCCAACGATTTACTCCTCTTCCTCTTCCTGTTTCTTTTTTCTCTCCTATAGATGGCTAATTCCTCTTCACTTTTCTTTGTTGACTTCCATTGACAAACTTTGGTTTTCACTGCAACGAGAGTGAGTGCTGTCAGATTCACCTCTGGTTATATGTGGATTACACTTTGAGATGGAGCAGATAGCTCAATTTTTTTTAAGCTACTAGCAGCCAAAATCCACTTTTAGTGAACCAGGCCGTCTTTGTAGAGACTTACCTAAAGTGTATTTCCTTCCTCCTTTAATTTTTAAAATGAGAAAATAACTGATTTTATGTGTTTTTGTTTTTTGTTGAAATATTTATTTGGGGGCTTTTTTGCCTTCTTTTGAAATGACATTGGACAGAGAAGGAAATTGGGGGAGAGAGAGAGAGGAAAGAGGAAAGGAGCCACAGCCCGCTTGGAGGACTATAGCCTCCATACATGGGGTGCTAGGCTATATGCTGCCCTTTATTTGATTGAATCTTTTTATACAGTATATACAAGGAAAGCATCTTTGTTGCAGTTTAGAATATTAACGTTATCTGCTTCATTTTCAGTCCTTACAGCACAGACAGGCGCTGCAGGAGATGTGTTGCTTTAAGGTGAAACAGCTGCTGATCGTCTCATTACACATTGGTTAGTCGATAAAAGAGCTGATGTGACTAAATATTATAACGCTTGATTTCTTCAGAGGACGGAAGGAGATCAGAAAAATCACTCTGATGGAAACATCCTCTGAAAGTTTCTCCTCCTCGTTCACCCTCAGTGTTGGAGGAACCGCTGATCGCCCGCCGTCGGCCTCACGCAGATTTACACTCCCAGTAAACACAGACACCTGTGTTGTCAGTATATGCACAGATACGACGTCCTCTTGTCATACTGACAGTACGCAGACTTTATTTACCGCCTCACTCTCTGTCTCTTAAAGTCCCTCCAGCAGCCTGTAACACACAGATAAAGCTCTGCGCTCGCTTTAATTGGGCTTCTGCAGTTATAAAACACATTCAGATGAACAGCTGTTTGAGCTGAGCTATTTGTTTACGAGGCTATGAAATGAGCTCTGACACTCTATGCTAATCTTTAATAGTCCATTTAGTCTCATATTGTCATTTGGTGTTCATTGTGAGGACTGCACTTAAAGATTTTACATCAGATGTTTGAACGATGCGTAGTGGATGAGTCCAGCATCGTGACACTGTCTAGCAACTATTTCTGTTTTTTAAAATACAGATTCAAATTGCTCCCTTTTTATAAACAGCAATTAATCGCTGAATTTCAAAAGATAAATCACAACTAATGACATGTTGGAAATGTCATTATTTTGCAGTTCTCGACAATTTTTGTTCTGTTTTTATTTTGGATTTTATCTTAACGCATGTTTGATTTTCTTCCTGTTTGAATAAAACCTCCTTTTTTTTTGGATTTTGTCTTAACCCATATCTGCTTATCTGCTTTTCTTCTAGTTTGAATAAAACCTGCTTTTATTTTGACGGAAAATTAGGGATTTCAGGTGTATCAAAAGTTACAACATTTACTACCACGGAAAAAGTAACTAGCTACAGATCTAAAAGTTGATAAAAATAGCTAAGGGAAGGGTAAACAAGGTGGATTTTTAATTTTTTGACTTGAGCTGTCCAGGAGGTGAAGGAGAAAAAATAGCACGCGATTTAATGTGATTAAAAATAATGAATATTCACTTCTGACCTTAATCACATCGCAGTTAACGCTGACAGCTCTAGTTTCAACATTTGATTGCTTCTAACCATTTAGGGTGGAGGCTATCAGGATTGTTGTGAAGTTGGTCCTTCGGCCTCATTCAGCTTTTCACAAACACCTTCAGGAGCAGTGTCTTTCACAAGGCCAGGTGACATGAGCAATAGTGTTTAATTCAAGTTGCTGCTCTGCCAGCTGTTACCTATTAACCTCTGATGACAAAGCTGTCTCAAGAGCTTCAGCTGCAGGGGGCGGAGCCAAGCGTTTTCTGACCGGGGTGGCCAGGAGAGTGTGAGGATTACTAAGGACGTTTTCACATTAGGCATGATTGTTTCGCACAGTGCCTGAGCACGATTGCTCCCCCCTCCTCTCTCCCCCGCTGGTCTGCGTTCACATTAGTAGTATTACTTTGTGCCTGAGTGCACTAGGTACACATTCTGATACAGCAGGAGGAAGTGTGCACGTAGTCGGTTTGCAAGTCCATCATGGTAACTGCGGATGTTTTTTGTTGTTTCTGAGACACCAACAATGACCCTCTTTCTACACAAACATCTACCGTGCAGCTCAGAGGACAAAACAGGCCCGTGCTGCGCTGATACGACCCTTTTGAATCAAAAGGAGTCGTTTAGAATTAATTCATATATAGACAAACATTTACCTCCTGGGTCCAATAATGTTGCATAATCCCTGTGGTTGTGAAAAGCAAAATAACTAAATTCCTGCTTCTTATACATTTTAAAGGAGACATATTATGAAAAGTCCTCTTCTACAGTGTTTCTGAACATATATTTGGGTAACCTGAGTGTCTACTGACCCACAAAATGTGAAATAAACCCATCCAGTCCTTTGTTTGTGGTCTGCATAAGTCTTACAACACAGAGAAAAATGCTCTGTTTCAGATGTGCTCTCCTTGTGACGTCACAGTGGGATTCTAGTAAAAAAAAAAAAAAAATCCCCTCCCCTCCCCTGGTATCTCCACCCATAGACTCCACCCCATGCCGAGAACAAAACTTTTACACAGGTCGGCCATTTTTATTCTCTCTACAGAGGAGTGATGTCTACGGGGAAAACTCGGGGGGGGGGGCGACATTTCTTTTAAAGAGACACACACACAAAACGGAGCGTTCTGAGAGAGCTGGTTTATACAGGGTCACAAACCTCCTCTGGTGCTTGATTCATGTTATATTTTGACCAAAGCACAGCACAGATGTTTCATTTAGACCACAGGGGACTGTTTGAAAAGGTGGAGGGGGGGGATGATATGTCCTCTTTAGCATGTGAGCTTCACTATAAGCGGACAGTCACCTGTTTCTGTTTCTCTCTGTTGGGTCCAAGAAAGAAACCTGTGTTTAAACACCTTCTGTTTCCTGTTATTCTTTAAATGCACCAGGAATAACTAGCATGTGTGTGTGTGTGTGTGTGTGTGTGTGTGTGTGTGTGTGTTTACCTGAAAGGCAGCAGTTTGGAGGGAGTGTGTGTTTTCTCTAACACTCTTTTCACCAGCTGTTCGTTTTCCTCGGGATAAACTGAGCGCGTGCAGTAGACCACCGTCTGAACCTTTGGGACTGACGGACAGAGAAAACATTGAACAGAGACAATCGTCCTTTTTTTTTTTTTTTTTAAATTGATGGCATGTTATCAATGGTATGCATGGAAAAAACACAACACTATGAATATGAAGCTTCATCCAAAGGCAACTGGACTTCATTGAAGATCTTGGAGAGGTTTTACCTCTCCTCAGAAAAGCTTCTTCAGTTCTGAACTTACTTTGAAGAGGACAAAGTGCACATCCCGGCCAGGGAAGACCGTTGGTTTGAAAGGGGAGTTAAAGTCGCCTTCTATGATGGAAAAACCATCCCTCAACAGAGGTGGTGGTCTGAGACGCAATCTATCACCAATCTACAATGCTGTTTTGAATTCCCCACTCCCATCATGTAACATGTGACCCCAACGTCCCACAAATGACTCTCATGCGAGTCATCCTTTATGATTAGCATGCTATGCTATCCTATGCTAATCATCCACAGAGGCTTTAATTCATAGCACCATCCACCAGTTTGTTGAGATTTGAAGAAGCCTTTTGGAGGAGAGGTGAAACGTCTTCAAGATCTTCAACCAAGTTGTTTGGTTTGGATCAAGCTTTGAATTTACCATGAACTGGATGACTGAGAACCTACACAGTCAACACTATATGAATCAGAATCAGGTTTGTTGCCAAGTATGTTTACACATACGAGGAGTTTGGCTCAGTGATTAAGGTAAAAAAAATAAAATATAAAAAAAATAAGGGTCACATATTCTCCTCTTCAACCAGTTTAAATAAGTCTCAGAGCTCCTCAAAACATGTGTGTGGAGTTTCTTGTTCTAAATCCACTCTGATCCTGTATTTGATCATACCTATAAACCCCTCTATTTCAGCCCTGCTCAGAACAGGCTGTTTCTGTGTCTGTACCTTTAAATATGTAAATGAGCTGTGTTTGACCACGCCCCCTCTCTGGAAGGACTTGGGTGGCTCAGACTTTCTTTTGAATCAGCACCTCTGCTGTGAGTCTCTCCTCTTTCCAAATATTTCAGCATCTATGTATCTGTGTGTGTCCTCTCGATTAGTACTTACAGGAGAGAGCGTGTGCGAGAAGTCGTGCCTGCTGCGTGGCCATTGTTTGTTTCTTCTTCTGCGATACTGAACCGTACGACAAGTCATGCAGCAGATCCCAATCTGTCAACAGAACGAAACTGATCTTTTTAGTGAAAAAATAAAAAGGGACAAAACCTCTTTATATAACCATCAATAACATTAGAATATTTTATTTTTTAGAAGTTAAGATTTTGATCTCAATCTCAGTTTCCATATTGTTACTGTCCCTTTCCCTACCATCCCCTTATACATTTATTGTGGCAAATTTTTAATCGCATTTTTTAATATGGGACTTAATGGAGCTTCCTTGGCTTTTGGGCCAGCCTCAAGTGGCCACTCGAGGAACTGCAGGTTTTTTTTGCACTCCAGCATCTGCTTCATTTTACAACCTTGATGTTGCCGCTTGAATGTACCTCCGTGTTCGCTGTGCATTGTGGGTACAGGGTCATTGAGGGCAGAGGATGAGCACTGAGGTAGTACTATGATGACTTTTAAACGCTGAACACTGGCGTTCCACTCGTCCAGACCAGAGAACGCCTCTGACAGGACTCGAAAATCTGCATTGGACATAGATTAGCAACGTAAAACTAAAGCGTTTCTACAGAAGGAATGAATCTATGAATATAAATGTTTGAACGTTTTCTCACTTTTGATGTCCATTAGTGCGAGCAGTTCTTTTATCTCTTCCATGTGTGAAGCTGTGTGATCAGCGGCACACACCAACACTCGGCCAGAGCGCTCAGCAGCCACTACGGCTACGTGAGCCACAGTGACGGCAGAGAAAGACCCCGCCACCAGGACGTCACCTTTTTCAAACAGCAAGGGGCGTAATGCACTCACCCCACGCACACACTTCTGTCCTGCAAGAGACACAAACACAGGTGCAGACCATAGACTGTGTAAGATATGGACGTAGTCTCAGTGATGTCACCTATTGGTTTCTGAACAATGGCGGTCGCCATATTGGAAATCCTATCTCAACATTTGATCAATCTAGTAAGGGGCAAAGAGGTGGAGCTGAGGCAGGTCTGTAGCCCTTTGGCAAACACTACAATGTGTCCACCTGTCAGTCAGATCAGCATCTAATTATACAAATTTATGAGTAACTCTATGCCTTATTAAAATCTAAGCTGATGAGTTATAGAAATGTAAGCCTCTGTCGGTGGGAATCAATAAAGAAACTAACAAATGATGCTAAATTTGTTTTTTGAACCAGGTTGTAAACATGTTTATTTCTGCAGGAGAAGTAAGCATTTGAATGTTGGGACCTAAGGGATTCCCTGGCTTTTGCAGCCAGCCTCAAGTGGACACTGGAGGTACTGCAGTTTTTTTGCACTCATCTATTGGCTGAATTTTTTAACACAGGACGTTGCTGCTTGGTGTAAACACAGAAAACTACATTTAAGGTAAAATTATATATTTTTTTAAGTTGCTTCCCTCAGTAAGGCAACAACTAGTGTTAGCATTCGACCACTTCATAGCTAACAGTTTTACTGTAACGTGTTAGCCTAAATGAAAAGTAGGAGGGCTTGAAGCTAACAGTGATGTTAGAAAATAAAACAATAAAGGAACCTTTTCCTGCTTTGATACTGTGAAACAATAAGAAAGGAAAGGCATGAACTCCTACCTAAGAGTAATGTCAGCATGCTAACAGTTATTTTGTTCAGAGCTTATTTGTTAGTAGTTGAAACAAATCAGTTATCAGATTTTTACCGTCTTTGTCTTTTCGGTTGGTTATCAATACTTTATGAAATCATGAAAGTTGGTAGAATTTCCTCTGTTCACCCTAAGCATTCATGCACCAATTTGATTTTCCTAATTTTCCTGTGAAAACATGTAATTTGTGTTCTTTTCTTTCGTCATGATTTGTTAGGTTGACAACGTTGGTTACCAATAAAAGTGGATTCATTTATCTCTTTTTCTCCAGATAACAGGATCATTCGCTGCCTGGTGATCTAGAAAACTAAACAACTGTGGTCACTGTGATATTCCAGACGTCATCACTGCCTACACCAATGAGCTAAAGTATTGCTTTTTTTATGTTTGTTTTTATGCTTTTTGCAACTCTGGAGAAACAAGATAGATATGTCCAGATCTCCAGAAAACAGCTGGAAGTCACTCGTTACCATGGTAACATCGAAGCATGTCCGCTTAAGGCTTCCGCAGTAGTACAATATGTAAAAGGCATGAAAGTTTCCCAGTAAGTTTCCCATTCTGACCTGGACGACATGAGAATGATAAACCACTGTCGATTCTCAACCAGCTGATTTTTAACTCAAAAAATTTTAACTTAGAATTTGTAAATAAGTGAGCAAATATCAGTTAAGTTAGATTACAATATTCTCATGCAGTCTTGTAATAGTTTGTATGTATTCAGTTGATGAGTCTAACTTGTAATTTGCTTAGTCACGCTTCACGTCACACACATATCGCTACATGCCTGTGTGTTGAGCGCATGTGTAACGGTGCTGTGCTGGAGCAGAGCGAGAAGCCGTCGAGAGAGGACGAGTGTGTCTGCACAGAGCGGGTCTCTGCTGAACGTCGACTCCTCGAGATCAGTCAGGTTCTTCGCTTCTCGTAATCCTGCGCCTTTCAGGGCTTCACACACTTCGTCGACGCTGCAGACAGAAGCAGAGATTAAGCTTGAGTTTCATTTGAAAGGTTTTGAAAGGTTGTCTGGTAAAGAGTGCAGCATCCTGTTCACTACAAACAACAGGGTCACTTCTCCCCCTCAAGCTGTAAAACTTGCTGAAGCCTCCCCGTCTCAGATACGACCCAGTGAACTTCACTCACCATTAACCCCGTACTGCATCCCTCCCCTCACCTGTCGATGTACACTCACAGCTTCTCTGCTAAGGTTGAACACTCTTCATCATATTGATAATATGTTCTCCATGATGTATGACACACACCTGCTAAATCTTACAAAAATATACTTTGTCACGGGAGTGAACAGGTTCTTAAACGAGCACTTAATGGCCAAAAGCCCCTCTTGTTTCTCATTTGAACTCTTTAACTACACAGAAGTAAGATAGAAAATTAGGATGCTTTCACACATGCACAAAACTCCTGACATTTTCAAAGTGAGCTGCATGTGTGAATGCAAGCAGCTATTTCACACTGACTTTTTCTCCTGCCAGCTGTGATGATGGAAGATTAGTAGGAACTAATGTATGTATGTGTGTGCATAGGGGGACGATAATAAGGACCGGACTATGAGAGTTTTATAAAGGTCACTAGTAGACTCCACGAGGGTTTCCCGTCCGTTCTTACTAAGGACCACCACATAACATGTTACACCAGCTTCCTTGTGACCTCCAAGGCGAGGTAGAAAGTCAAGAAAATGCACTGCAGGTATAAACGGGAGGAGGTGGTGTTGTAGACCTCGAAATGGGTCTTGGTCTCACCTCGAGAAGGTCTCGTCTCAGCATCAAAATCATTTTTACTCGGTCTTGTCTCGTTCTCAGCCTCTTTCTTAAATAATGGAAAACTTTATTTCATTTGTAGTTTGATTTTGTATCCTCCGGTGTTACAGTCTAAGTGAGAGACACACCCAATGCAGACAAGTTGATCATTTTTCTGTGATATTTATGGTCTTGGTCTTGGTCTTGGTCTCGGAGCACTCTGGTCTCGGGTATGTCTTGGTCTTAGTTGGTGTGGTCTTGACTACAACACTAGGAGGAGGTTATGACCTTTGCATGATGAAACCATTTAGCGACTGGGGCCAGTGGTGCCACCAGTCGTAATGTACACACTGTGCGTACATTTCATAACCAGTATAATTTATTTATATTAAAACAAAACTGTGACGACTGCAGATCCTGTGTTTCATTCTTCTTCATGTCTGTTCTGTTCTTGAGTTATGGTCTATAGCTCCATCAACAAACCAACGCCATGACGCAAATACACTTGAAGGCATATGATTGGTGTACAGTAACTGTTGGCGTATTTCCTTCTACACTCGTTGGTTGGTACTGTGGATATGTAAAGTAGCTCTGATACAAAAGGCTTGTCCTCGTTTTCAGTGGGTAAGTAAAGGCTGTGAGTATGAGGTACCTGGTCTTCAGAGTATTGACCCATGCGTAGAGGGGCAAACGTTTGGCTCTGTTCTGTTTGGTCCTGACAGGATCAGATAGAAAACAGGAGACGCTCTGCAGACTCTGTTTCACTCTGCAGCGAGCCAGCGAGGCCGCTAGCTTTGTCTTCCACCTGAAACAAGACACACACACACATAGACACACACACATAGAAACACACACACACACACACACATAGACACACACACATAGAAACACACAAATAGAAACACACAAATAGAAACACACACACACATAGAAACACACACACACATAGAAACACACACACACATAGACACACACACACACACACACACACACACACACATAGAAACACACAAATAGAAACACACACACACATAGAAACACACACACATAGAAACACACACACACATAGAAACACACACACATAGAAACACACACACATAGACACACACACATAGACACACACACATAGAAACACACGCATAGAAACACACACACACACACACATAGACACACACACATAGAAACACACACATAGAAACACACACACACATAGAAACACACACACACATAGACACACACACACACACACACACATAGAAACACACACATAGAAACACACACATAGACACACACACATAGACACACACACATAGAAACACACGAATAGAGACACACACACATAGACACACACACATAGAAACACACACATAGAAACACACACATAGAAAAACACACATAGAAACACACACACATAGACACACACACATAGAAACACACACAGACACACACACATAGAAACACACACATAGAAACACACACATAGACACACACACACACACATAGAAACACACACATAGAAACACACGCATAGAAACACACACATAGAAACACACACACATAGAAACACACACACACATAGACACACACACATAGAAACACACGCATAGAAACACACGCATAGAAACACACACATAGAAACACACACATAGAAACACATACACACACACACACACACACACATAGACACACACACATAGTAAACACACACATAGAAACACACACACACACACACACACACATCTTACAGGACACTTTCATGTTCATCCTGTCTGATCAAAAACAGCTTCAGTTGCGTTAGAAACATCGACACTCACGCACCTCAGCAGACTGATCTCCATGTCCCTGACTTCCTGCAGAGGCTCCGCCCCTTCTTTTGCTGAGCGTTCATTCACTAAAAACCTTCGTTCCTGGAAGTCAAACAGCATCACCATCGCCAAGGGCAACAAGTCGCTGGTCTGCAAAACAAGACTTTATTATTATATTGACGAGGCAAAGTTTATTGTTTATACCGCAGCCAGTCAGCAGGGGGAGCTCTAAATCTTTTGGCTTCACTACTCAAGAGCTCTTGTGCTGTCCATTCTTTATACACTCATTGGTACATACATGTTATTTAGTGCGTGTGAGGTTGAATTTGTGTGTGTGTTATGTGTGTGCGTGTGTGTGTGTTGGAGGTTAAGGTGTGTGTGTGTGTGTGTGTGTATATGTGTGTGTGTGTGTGTGTGTGTGTGTATATGTGTGTGTGTGTGTGTGTGTGTATATGTGTGTGTGTGTGTGTGGGTATGTGTGTGTGCGTGCATGTGTGTGTTTTTTGTGGTTGAATGTGTGTGTGTGTGTGTGTGTGTCTCAGTAAAGAGGTGTGCAGAATTACAAAGAGCCGTGTGGCAGCTTTTATAGTCATACTGTCTGTTTCACACAACCCTCAATAAAGCCATCCTTCCAACACACACACACACACACACACACACACACACACACACACACACACACACACACACACACACACACACACATACATAGGTGTGTGTCTTTGTCCATGTATGTGTCACTGCACCGTGTTTTATGGCGCCATTTACAGTCTCCCAGTGTGAGAGTGCGTCTACCTCTCTGCATCATTCGCCTCCCATAACCAGCCAGACTGCGCTCACATCTGAATACAAATGGCCTCTAACTGCCTCCCCATCTCCCTCGCCCGCACTTTCCCATATTGTGATGGAGCACATATGGACAGAGAGGGGAGCACAGATACTTTATTTGAAGACAGACAACTCCCAGACAGTTTAACAGTCAGTGAGTAACTGCTGAAGTGCTTTTAATCAGTTTCTTTTTTTTTTTTCAGGTTTGGTGGGACTCACAATATGCTGAGACGTGTGGAAGCAGCTGTCAGTGATGATGTCCTCCAGTAAATCTTGGTCTGCAAAAAAAAAACATTTTGGATTTCATTTGAGATGAATTTAACTTCAAAACATTTTAATCTTAGAGGCTCAGTCACCTAAATTACGGAAACACAATTGCTGAAATTTGGTTTAATTTGCTGAAATTTGGAGCTAACCTTCTTTGAAGTTCTGTTTTAGTATCAGTTGTTAGAACAATCTGATGTGGTTTGGATAGCATCCTTCTTTTTAAAGATCCCATATTATCCTCATTTTCTCCTTTCATGTTGTCAGTCTGTGAATCTTACACAGAAGCTTTGCATGATTTGCAGCTCGTCAGTAAAATGGCTCATTTCAGACTCTGCCTGAAATGTTTCATTTCCGCTGCTGTCTCTTTAATCAGCCTCTCCCTACGTGCCCACTTTCTTCTGGTTGGCCAGCACTTCCAAGGGGCAGGACGCTGCAGGGCTGCCAGAGGAGGGCTGCTCTCCAGTGCTTGGAGAAGAGAGCCTTTGTAAAACGGCTCCACCTGCAGAGGCTTGAAGTGTGACATTCTTTCATATCGAGGAACTATCGCATGATTTGCATAACATGCAATTTAGCGCCCTCTGCAGACTTATCCTGGGATTATTCCAACATATGTTTACTAATGATGCACTCTATCCCCAACTCCTGCAGCCACATGTCCGATGTGTCCTTGGGTAAGACACTTAACCCCTTGATTGCTCCGACTGCTTCATCTGCAGTGTATGAATGGATTAGTTATTTCTGATGGTCTCTTTACCCAGCAGCCTCTACCATCAGTGTGTGAATGTGTAGGTGTGACCTGCGGTGTAAAAGCGCTTTGAGTAGTCAGAAGACTAGAAAAGAACTATACAAGCTCAAGTCCATTTATCATTTATATATGAGTTTTAAAATGGGGATCAGCCTAATAGATCAACTTTAAGTACTGAAGCTTTTAAACAAGTTTTTCAGTCGAATTAAAAATGTTTTACCAAAATCTGTCGTATTTTGCATGCACAAATACATCGGCTACATATCGGGTACAGCAACGTTGCAAACTTATTTATGCATTTAGAAAGTCTGCAGAAGTTTACATGTAATGTTTTGTTCGATTGTTATTAAATATTTGGTGCATATGACTTGTACATTTGTGCCGTGTATTGAAAAAGTATGGATATTGTTTTGCATTTTACTAGAATCCTACTGAAGTATAACCCGACCGTACTCTCATGCTATAGATCTGAAAACGTTTCAGGGCAGCTTTGAATGTAAAGTCTATAAAAATGATAGCACAATAAAAATCTCTAAAACCTGACTAAATCAAATCGAACCTTTCTGCATGGCTGGATAACATCCACTCCTCACGTGTGCTATTCAATATGTCATTCTGTGTGTGTGTGTGTGTGTGTGTGTGTGTGTGTGTGTGTGTCCATGGCATGCACCCTCTTATCACCTCCCTCACAGACATCTGCCGCCCCTCCAGCTGAAGTAATTGGTAGTCCCATGGGGAAATGAAATGTGCGACTGTACATATACCACTTCATCTACAGTTTTCTCTGCAGGCCGCTATTCAGAAGTGAATATTGGAGTTGACACAAGCTGCGGCTCCTCTCCTGTTCATTATAGAGATAAGGCTTTCCTTATGGGAGGTGTGTGAGGTCTGCAGAGGTAGCAGAAATGGAGTTGATCAAATTCATTTCACTCTGACATTACTTAGTCAACCATCAAATGCTCAGCAGAGTGTGCGTCTGCTTACTAAACTAAATATGCTTCAAAGATGTGAGGAGTTTTGTAAACAATGCGAGAAACCTGTGGAGATTTCCTACATTTGAGTGTGCTGAAGGCGAGCTGGAAGGCCTGTCTCTGGGGTGGGTTTGTCCCCGCTCTGTGGCAGCGGTGTGTCCGTCTTCTTCTCATAATGCAGCAGCTGCTGCGAGGACGTCTTCTCCGATCGCAGCCGATGGAAAACGGCCGCTGCTTGCACGTAGGCCTGATCTGACGGAGGGGAGGCTGATGGGGAAGAAGGATGGGGGGGAAGATAAGGGTGGCAGTGAAGTATTGAAAGAACAACAAATGGAAAAATTGGAGAGCTGGAACGAGGACTTGTTGTGAAAGTTAGAAAGAGACAAAAGAAGGACATCAGATGATACACAGGGAGAGTGCTGGTTTTGATACCCAGTGAACCAGTTAATAAACATGATATTGGTGGAAAAAAACACAATCACATTTCCCTTTGACCAAGATAACACACCTGAAACCTGTTGACTATTGGGTCCCAAATGGAATGGAATCTGCATTTTAGACAACAGAGGAGGATGACACAGATTCTCATATCTGGGGTTTTCACAATACTGTAGATTTTTAAGCTGGGATATAAACCTAGAAATCTTTTTACTCTACCTATTCCTGTTACGATACCACGGCAAAACTGTACAAGTACAAGATGGCTTCTTGTTTTTAATTAATAACCAATGTAAGCAAACTCCTAGGGCCGTATTCATGAAGCCTCCTCAGTATTAAGCGTCGCTCCCAGTAAATAAATTCTAAGAAAATTCTTAGAATCAGGACAAGAATTTCCCCTTAAAGTTCCCCTTAAATATTCTCATTCTGATAAAGTGTTATAAGGAGAAGGAATGTATCTTACCTGGTGTAGGTGAAGATTTACAGAGACTGGAAAGAGGAAGTAGAAACTTAATGATCTCCTTGTCGGTCGGGTTGGCTGTCTTCTTCTTCTTCTTCTTCTTCGTCTTCTTCTTCCTCCTGATTTGAAATGAGGATGTTTCCTGTCGCAGTGTTCATATTCTCATCTTCTCTTGAGCCTGCTGTAAGAGAAGAAAGAAAAATAAACAAACAAACACAAAACCATCAAAGAAGGAACAAAAAAAGAGAGCATGAGGAGCTTACTTTAATCTGCCATGAATCCTCCAAGCAACAAAACCAGTCACTAAAGTCCAGCACACTCTCTCTTTTTTTTTTTTTTTTTTTTACATTCCAGCCTCTCTGTTTGTGGAATTTACCATCTTCAAACAGTCACAAAAACGTTTCTCTGCACACCTGAGACGTCCTAATGTAAATAAGACGTGTGCAGTGAGTCATGGCCCACATGCGACACAGCTTCCTGTTACTGTGAACGTGAGACTGTGGAGGGTAATTGGGCTCCTCCTGGTGCAATTAGGGCGACCGGTCAGATACACGGGCATGAATAAATAATGGGCAGCAGTCCGACCCCGGACAAAGGTCCACCTCTCACTGACCTGCCCCACTCGTCTCTGTGCAGCACACACACACACACACACACACGATAATAAAGCCACAGTGAGTGGACATGTGTGGCTTCTTGGGGGTTTAAATGACATCACTTGACTTGACAATAAGAACTGGCCCAATAAGGATTAAACACCCAAAGGCAGCAGGGACCACTAACCTCTCATTAAAGCAGATTAATAGAGAGAAACACTGACAGAGTGTAATCGGCTTTTACAGCACTCATCAATCTTTAGGCGCAAAGTTAGAATTGACCAGAAATGTGCAACGTGTCCAATAAAGGCCACGCCAGAGCAGATGGAATAAATTAATGAATATCAAACGGCAGTGATTTAATGAGTGTGAAGCAGTTTTGTCGAGCTCGGGCCCGGGGAGAAAGTCCACTTATAGAGGAGCAGGGAGCGACAGCAGCTTAGTGTAATCTGCATAGAAGATGATGTGCTGTTTAAAGTTGCATGGCGGGTCTTACCTTTTGTCATTCACAATCGTCCTCGTGGGAACGACACACAGCTCAGCTTCTTAAAGAAACGCAACCCCGAGCAATTATTAACGGCAAAAATGTCCTGCTCTCCTGAAAAGCCGTTTTGTTTTTCTTCTACGCTTCACTGAGTTTCATACAGTGTTAGTCCTCCTGTTGAGTTAGAGCACATCATACACTCATCACCTCGCTGTCGTGCCTGAGTTTGAAATGCCATGGCAACAATATGATAATGAAGGGGGCCTTTCCTCTCTGAGACAGGTATACAATAAGTACATTACATACCTGTGGAAGAGGACCTGAAGCATTTACATCAACATCAATAGAGATAAATAGATAGATAGATAGATACATAGATAGATAGATAGATAGATACATAGATAGATGGATAGATAGATAGATAGATAGATACATAGATAGATAGATAGCTAGATAGATAGATAGATAGATAGATAGATAGATAGATAGCTAGATAGATAGATAGATAGATAGATAGATAAATAGATAGATAGATAGATAGATAGATAGAGTCCAAGAGTGAATACCTGTCAGATCAGGCCCATCGAGTGCACAACATGACACCACCAGAAAATGGTCAAAACAACCATCTTCAGGACCAGAATTGGCCAGCCAGCCACGACATATTTGATGTTGTAGCAGCCTATTTGATTAGAGGTTACACAAGTTTATAATGTTAAGGCTGCTAAAGAAATACCATCTGTTGTCACGTCCCCGCACGCCCCCTTCAAGTGCACCCGTCCTTGTCAAGTGAAAACTCAAGGAGGAAATAACCAAATGAAATCATGACAGAGCAGATGGATGAAAAATTGTTTTGTAATAAATAGTAAAGGCACAGGAAAGTATCACGCTCGAGTAGAGAGAATGAAATCTAAATCCAGAGTTGGATGCTGAACTCTTCACCAGTCTCCAAAGTGAGCAGAGAACTTGTTAACGGTGTGCAGTCAAATAAGTGAAATAAGTGAAGGAAAGTCTGAAACTCCAAGTGAACACTTAGAAGTGCACACTTCAAAGTGAATAAGTACACATTCAAGTGCTCCCTTACATGTGCACACTTCAAAGTGAGTAAGTACACATTTAAGTGCTCACTTACAAGTGCACACTTCAAAGTGAATAAGTACACATTTAAGTGCTCACTTACAAGTGTACACTTTTAGTTCATAAGTACACCTTTCAGTGCTCCCTTACATGTGCACACTTCAAAGTGAGTAAGTACACATTTAAGTGCTCACTTACAAGTGCACACTTCAAAGTGAATAAGTACACATTTAAGTGCTCACTTACAAGTGTACACTTTTAGTTCATAAGTACACCTTTCAGTGCTCCCTTACATGTGCACACTTCAAAGTGAGTAAGTACACATTTAAGTGCTCACTTACAAGTGCACACTTCAAAGTGAATAAGTACACATTTAAGTGCTCCCTTACGAGTGCACACTTTGAAACACAAAAGTGAACACTTTCAAGTACCCCCCCTTTAAGTGCACAAGTGCACACTTGTAAGACTCCCTCCCCCTCCCCAACCCCGAGTACACCATTGGAGTTTCCCAGGACTCAGATTCTTGCCCTAGGTAAGCAGGCCAGCTCTTTTAGAGGCCTTTTTTATAACCTTCTCATAACATACTGATGACAAATGAAAAACATGCGGATACTCTTGCTGGTTGGACAATATATTCCTGTTCAACAACAATTGGTACACCAGTGACTAACTATGAAAATGAAGAGATAATCATCAGATGTTCTGGTTTAATTTCGCCATAGAGTGGCTGGATTCTTCCTCGGTGAGAAACGACAGCAGCAGATTTGACTTCTCAGCTCTTTAGACTCAAAGTGGCCATCCTGTTTAGTGACCATCTTTTCTCTCATATCAAGTCTTCAGACTGAAACAAAACTGGAATTTACAGAATCAGTGATGGATGGAGAAGCTGTCATCTATGAATTGTTAACAGATCAAACTTTAAGGTGTATTGTGCTGTATGTTTCAGATGACTGTCTAATGCTGCCCTCTCTGGTAATCTTCTAACTGTAACTCTGAGGCTTCCATTGCAAAGAAGGAAAATAAAGGATATCAAACTACAAGCATACTTTTAGACCTATAAGCACCTTTCTGAATGCAGACTCTCTTAATCCAAACTCCTGAAATCTGCTCCCTTCTCCTAGGGCCCCTAATTAATCTCCTCCTCCTCCCCATAACCTGCCATGCCGGAGCTGTCCACCAGGTGTCCTCAAACACTTTCAACAGACTCTAGCGCTCACCTGCTCTCACTCCTCTCCTGTTGATTCCAGCTTTGTGCCTCATAAGGACACATAAATATCATCTATGTAGTTTATAAATATTTCTAATTTAGTGTGAATGATCGATCATTGCACACTTCATGTTTTACAGAAAAGCACGACATCTAAACATGCACATGCTTTACAGGTTTTACAGGTTGAAACAATTATGACAACATATCAAGCAGTAACCTCCAGGACTGCAATGTGAAGCCAACAGGAAGTTTAAAACATCTGCACTTTTCAAGTGACCACATGGGGCACAAAACAGCAACAAAAAAACAATTTTCTTATTTAGATTTTGTTTTATTTACAGACAATACCATCACAAATTCACAGTTGGTACAATAGGTGCTAGTGCTTAAAAAAACAAACCAATTTAAAAATCATTTTAAAAAAAGAGTATAAAGTTCAGTATTTTTGCACACACTGATTTGAAGCTCATCTACTGAGAGAAGTTTAAAGACGTTTGTCGTGTTTACCTTTTCATGAACTCATCGCACTGTTTTTATCCAACCAGGTCAATGGTTAAATCTGTGTTAGAGAACAGTTAATCATTCACATATGCAGCAGAGAATATTTGGTCTGACGGGCTTGATCAGAATTCAAGATTTTAAAGGCATGTGAGCCAGTTTCTCTGAGAGACGACCGATGAAAAAGAAGAAGGAAAACAAATATCTGAGATTGAGAAGATAACAGCTGATGTGGAGAAGTGCACTCCGGTCGCAAAAAAGCTACATAAACACAACAAAAGACAGACATAAACCAGTCTCTTTGTTTATACATGCCACATTTCACAGCAGGAATCAGATGGAGATTACTCGACACATGAAACCAGAGCCCAACACAGACTTAAAAAATGGGCTGTCGGGGCTGCTTCAGAGATTAATTATTCCCTCAAAATGATCCATGTATGTGTGTGTGTGTGTGTGTGTGTGTGTGTGTGTGTGTGTGTTGTGTGTG